AAAAAAAAAAAAAACGTGTTATTCTCTGTTGCGATTAATAGACATTATCTCACCATTATCTCGGCTACTTCTGTACTTGCGCGCATTCGAACAATAAACTGCTTCGAACACACCGAAGTCACGGCATATACTGTTTATATATGAAACTTGGAACCTGATGGACCAATTGCTGGAACACCACAACGCTATCTTGCGTTGATAAATTGTACTTCACGGTAAACATTTTCTTGCATAGTATAGGAAAATATATTTTACAAGGATGAGGATTTTGTACAGTTGGAAGAAACGAGTTGTCGAGGTCGTAAAAATAATTGTAAAATCCATCAGTGTGTTAAATTTGTATGATTCGACAATCGAAGCAGAAATTTAAAATCTATAGGGACAGACAAGGAGCCAGAGCGAAACTTCAGGACCGTACAATGTAAGATTTCCATTTCTGCAGTATGTTTAAAAACATTTTATGCAACATACATTTTAGACACATACAGAATTTCATATTTTCCATACGATTTCCCATTTGATATTTTTCATATGAAAATTCCATATGTTCGTATAAAAGTTTCAAATGTCAATTTAAAAGAAACTTTTACAGTTTAAGTTCAAAATGTTTGATATACTCAACCTTGATTACGACTCAATCGGTATTATCGTTGATTATTTTAATTTGTGGCTTTTCTATATCACTTTCACATCAGCTGTTGCTTATCATTTTTAATAAAAAAAAAGAAATTTTGTTCTAATTTTTACAAAATAGTTTAGGTTTTCTTCTTTATAAATATTAAAGTTTTCTACTCTGAAATATTAGAATCGATTATATACATATGCACATATTGTTTTCATTCTTCTTATTGCATAGTATAACATAGTATGGATAATTGTAATTTCTCTTGATAATATTAAGTAAATATTTAATAAATATCTAAAAAAATTATATATTTCTTATAATAGGAAATTATTCTTTTGTTCTTTAATAGATTCTAATATTACCGTTCATACTCAATCGAAAAAATACATTTTTTTCAGAAATTAATTTACTTTTAATTAAATAATATAGTAGAAGTTATAGATTAATTTCTGCGCAAGAAATAAGAAGAAATTGAAATTTAATCGAAAGCTCAAATATATACATATTTAAACATTATATGAAGTTTGAGTTAATAATTACAATGTTAAAATTTATTAAAATGTATAGTTTTCAAATGATTGAATATAGAGTTTTTAAAATTCATATTAAACTATCTTTTTGTTTTTTTATTTTGGCAATTCTGATTTGGAGAAGCAAGTGATACGTCAATATGATGAATCTAAATCTATGCTATAAATATGATTCTTAATTCTATGCCTGTTTCTAGCATATACTTATGTTTCTGGGATAAATTAACATACATTTATATATTAAATTATTCACTATATATAATTTTTATGTAGTTAGTGTTCTTCATGTGAATTTTAGAATTCGTTAACAGCGCCCTCTCGAACATCCGTTTACATGGGTCCCTATCTAATTCATGTATAAGCTTGTTCGTTTCTTTTCCGGTTTATCAAAATGGTAGGGTAGTGCGAATAGAGTTTATTGTATTTATAAAATCAATAAAGTTCTGATTTATCTGTGTTAATCGATATAAATAAAATCCTTTGTTGAATTTCTAAAGTATCAAAGGAAGTTAACAAAAATTATTTCCTTTTCAGGGTATCGATATAAACCATAAACACGATAGGAAAGTTCGGCGTACAGAACCTAAATCGCAAGATGTCTATTTACGACTTCTCGTTAAAGTAAGTATTTTTACATGCATTCCTAACTATTTCTTTTTCATTATGTCTTAAACTTTGTATCAATTATATTCTGGATTTTATTTAACGAAGTGAATATTCTAATTTAACCTATGTTGAAAGTGAATTGTTTATTACTGAAGTGTACTATATTGTTGTCATAAACACGTGAGATTTGAGACAGATGAATTCCTTTTGCGAACAGCACTCTGTATCAGTGCTATTATAGACTGATTCAATTTTGTACGTTCGCTAGAAAATATTTAGTCAACTTTCCTATTCCGTCTTTTTGTCTTGTGCAAAAGATGATTATACTAGTTGATACAATATTATTCAAACGTTATATAAGAATTAGAATGCATAATCTGTGTTAATCATATTGAAATTTATTATTTTTATAATCATATTGAAATTATAAAAAATTAATGTGATTTATCGAAGTATTTGTTTATATGATGTTTTTCTTTGCTATAGCTTTATCGTTTCCTAGCTAGACGCACAAACTCTAAGTTTAATAAAATTGTCCTCAAAAGACTTTTTATGAGCAAGATACACCGTCCTCCAATATCTCTTGCACGTATAGTCAGATTTATGAAGAAGCCTGGACGAGAAAATGCTATTGCTGTAATTGTTGGTACTGTGACAGATGATGCTAGGATTTTTGAAATTCCTAAATTAACAGTAAGTGATGGCAATAATTTTTAAAATTGAATCTTTGATTTGTATAAAATATTATTTTACGTTTGCTTAAATATTTTATTAATCATTTGTGTGCCAGTGCTCATTGAATAGATTTGATAAGATTATGTGGCACTTAATCAGTTAATGTATAATTTGTGAATTTTTTATAGATTTGTGCTTTACGTGTTACTGCAAGAGCTAGAGCTCGTATATTAAAAGCTGGAGGTGAATTGATTACTTTTGATCAATTAGCATTACGTGCACCTACTGGAAAACGGACAGTTTTAATGCAAGGTCGTCGTAAAGCTCGTGAAGCGGTAAAACACTTTGGACCTGCACCTGGTGTACCACATTCTCATACAAAACCATTAGTATGTTCTAAAGGTCGAAAGTTTGAAAGAGCACGAGGCCGTAGGCGTAGCTGTGGTTATAAGAAATAAATTTTGTTTATTTGCCATCATTTATTATACCATACTGTTACATTGACTTGGAATATTTAGACATTTTGTCTACCTCTACATCCGTTTATATGACAAGTTAAGGTAGTTGGAAAATAAATGTTGGCTTCGTAATAAGATCTTTATATATTAATTTTATGTATTAATTCCTTCATTTTTTACAAAGCGTACAATTAAAACATACATATAAGATACAAGTTTAAATGTACTACATAGTAAGTAATACTTCATGTTCCATTTTTGTTTTCTTCTGGATTTTCTATTAGCTCTTCTGGCTTTTCTTCATCGTCTGATTGTGTTTCTTCTGAAGCAGTAACAACCGGAAAATATAGCCTTGATTCCTCTATACCTTTGTCTGGATTTTCACTTACATGATAAGGTCCAATACCAGCAAATCCTAAAAATGCTTCGCATCCTATTTTCTTTACAACGCATACAAATATCTCGTATCTAAAAATTAACATTTAGCAGTTTTATGTTTAATTTTAAGTCTTAAATCTTTCTTAATATTTACCCTGTTCTTTCTCTTGTATTTAATTCAAAGTCCGTAATATTCTTTGCTATAAGTTTTGCTTCTGGTGGTTTATCAGATTCGAAAATCCCGAAGTTAACTACTTCATCTTCAAATTCTTGTAAAACCATTCTCAGCTCGTTTTTTCTTGTATAGTCATATTTGAATACTACTATAGGTACTTTCGCGGTTTTATCTTCGTACTAAAAATTATAATGTTTTATACATGCTCTACAGTTTATTTTAGAAATACTTTTTTAATTTAGAACTTACCGGATATGTACTATTAGTATATGTGGGAAAAATTGTACGAAAAGTAATTGCTTTATTTCGACAATTTGGTGGTGTCCATGCGATTGGGAAAATCTCATTTTCATTCGTTATGTAGGCAGGTCGATGTCGTATGGCATAACTAAAGAAGAAAGTTAATCAAATTTAGATTAAGACCAAATTTAGCTTTCGAATTAAAATATCAAATATTTTATTATGAAACATGTTGATTTGAGAGAATAATTTTATTAAGCATTATGCAATCTAGGTACACACCATTCTTCGTTGAGAATTGTTTCTGCATTGGGTAATTTCGGTTCTCCAAATAAAAGATTTAATAAATATTCATGAATATCGGTTTCTGGTTTTGTTTCACTAAATTTTAATCGCATAAACATACATTTCCCATCTAGGAGCAGTTGTTTAGTATTTGGTGATAATACGTAATCAGACTGTGAAAATTGTTTAATTTAAAAAGACTGCCATCAAATAATTTTTGTTAGTGATATGTTGATACATCACTTCATTAAACATCGTGGATAGAATATCCTCATTGAGTCGTTTTCGTATTTCTTGTTCGACAGTGTAATTTCCTAGTAGTATTTCTTCAATTAATTCTACATACGGTGGACTTGATTTTTTATCTCTTTTATGACCTTCTTCATCTTTAAAAATCCATGGATAAAGTAAAAGACATGTTTCTTTATTCAGTGAAGTAGTCAGATGCAACATTTCAGCTTCATATCGTGCTACAACTTCAGCTTCTGTTTAATATATTAATATATATATATATATACACCAAAAATTTGAGTTATTGGAATTATTAAAAGTTTTATTATGATGTTACATTCATATTACCTAACAATGAATTTAAAAATAAAGCGTGCGATTTAATAATGAAGTATAGTGCGATTCCATGGATATTAGACGTTTTAATTTAAAATAAATAAAAACAATTCAGCTTGTAATACAAGATAATCATTATAGCATATCTGTATCTTTTTATCTATTACAGATCATGTAAAACCTTTTTGAGCCTTTTTCGCTGCTTCTTTAGCTATTCTAGTTTCTTCGATAACTTTTAATCGTTTTATTTCTTCCGGACTTCTTTCCGATACATCTAAAGAAAACCTGCGTGTATATGGTTCTTTATTCAAATTGTATTTGAATAACATTAATTTTTAATAGCTATTTTTTAATTGAGAAGTATGTACTCTACATACTCATGTTCCTCGCCATTTTGTACTCGTTGCAATTCCATTGTTAATACTTTTAATAATTGTGGGCATTGAGCACCAAACATGAGATTTACCATTCGACCATTCTAGCAGAAATTTATTGCATTTATTGCTAATTTAAAATTATACATTATTTAAAATTTTAATTATACATGAAACTTACGTGTATAAACATCCACGTTGGCTCACTTTTTCCTTGAAAACGCTCCAAATCCGTGATACAATCGCATTTTGCCTATTTAATTATTTTGCTTATTATTTAATAATAATTATTTATTTAAGACTATAGTAATAATTATTTACAATTAGAAATTACCGTCGCATAACTCAATGCATCTCCTCCAATTTCCATTTTAATTTTTTTAAGAGTGCTCACCATCCCTGTGCAAGGTCCGCTCCATTCTGAATATATATCGACCACTGATTTGAAAGATTGACTTTAAATACTTTTATTCTTATTCAGTCTAGTTAGCTAAATAGTTAATTTATACATTCCTATTAAACCTGGTTTCGTAAGAAGTTTCTCCCATTCATCGTTATTGGAAATTTCAGTTTGTAATGCCGCTGGTGTTGTTTTCTTAGCCATTTTTCGTACAGATTTTAAACCACCCTATAAAAAATAAATCATTTTTTATTTTTCATTAGTTCTCTAATCAAATCCGATCTTAATCAAAGTATATGAACGTAACAGAATTTAAGTAATTAATTATAATTTGAATTTCAGAAAAGCGCGAGTAAAGAATAAAGTACCCTTTTTCGTCGCATCATATTTGAAGATTTAGTTTTTGTTAGACTCAAGATCTTTTCTTTTTTTTTTTTTTTAATAACACTGAATTTAAATCACTATTCTGTTGATGTATCTCGGACGAAGTGCAGAGAGAAACTGTAGTAACAGTATATTTCGAAGCCAAAGGACCATTGCCTTCCGATTTACTGCGCGGGGACATCGGTGACATGAAGAACACGCAAACTCTACCGATTAAGTTTCTCGCTGCACAAATACACGCAGAGATAATTACAGGCCTAAGGATTCCACGGTAAGAATTTCGCTATGCATTGCTATTGGCATGAAATATTAATCTTGGCCTGAATTCTGCAATTATAACTACATGTATTGGTACTATGCTTCATAGGATAGCATGATTTATTGAGCTGCATGAATAGTTGCATGATAATCTTGCTACATAATAAAGCTTCTGTCAAAAGATATAAATTTAATCGTTGTACATATTAAATCGATTATATGGGACAGCAGAAAGGCTGTTTCTTTATCTTCTATTTGAATAATGAGACTGTGTATAATATATTAGTTTCGTAATGGAAATTCAGTTTTCTTTTCTTGTGATGCAATAATGCGATTATAATAATATTTCTATTTATTTTAATTAACGTGTATCTTATTTAATAATAATCATTATAATAATTATAAAATTTATTTCATTTAAAAATCTATATATATATATGTATTAGTTTTTTTCTTTCTTTCTCTTTCGTTCTTGATTTGTGCTTCGTCATGTAATTATACATAATTTAAAATATTCGTGTCTGTTAGTTTACTATAATGATGTAATTATGAAACGGCACGCAACATAGATATGCCAAGTGAATATTAAGAATATCTCGGAGTACAATAATTAACATCTTGTGAATATACAAAAAGATATTTTTATTAATTTTTTGGAAATTGTAAGTATTCTTAATAGAATATAAGGTTGAATTTGTATTATAATTTCATAATTAAAATTTTATTACGTTGTACCAATTTAAATATGGTTCTGCATTTCTAGATGGCGTTGGTATCAAGTAATACAGCTTTATGAATACACTGCTCTTTTAAAGCAAGTGGATCATCGTTAATATTTAATTAACATTTTAGAACATAACAGTGGAATTAAAAATTATTTAGAACATATGATATGTGTATTTCATTTTCTAATATACATTTCATTTCGTAATATACAAATGTTTAGCAGCGTATCTGAGATTGTATTGTAATACAAACACATACAGCGCTACCAACATAACAACAAGTAAAATTATTTATGTTTTATATCAATATATATTTAATTTATTTGCTAAAATAATCCTTTTAATCTTTTCAATATTTTTAACTTTACCTATATAATTTATATCTTTTCCCATTTCCTAAAATTAAGAAAGATATTATAAGAAATTTTGCTGTTTATAATTAATATAGGGTTATTTAGTTTTAGTTCGAATAATTTTTCTAAGATTGATTAGTGAACAATCGTCTATTTAGGCACTTTGCCTACACATTTATTGTCAACAATACGGATAAAATTAAATCCGAACGTCGATTATGTTATCTATATATATTTCAAATACGAGTACTAGGGTTCGTAATTTGCTTTTCTCTTCTTCTCCCCTCCTTTCCTACCATTTCCTTATCTGAATCAGCTGATTATTGTTTTCGTATTTCCAACGAAACAGACTGTTATCGTAGTTATGATACGTGATACCTTTTAACGAACGATTTTGCGGAAGATAATCCTCGTCGGCGTGTCGAAATAAAGGACGGATTCGACGATCTCTCGCGATAAGGGACACCACCGTCGCTTGAATATTTCGAACAAAAAGATTGACGTTTCGCGGGCGGGGTGACATCACTATCGTTTTCTGGTTGTGTTGTGTCAGTCACTCGTAGAATGACGCAGTAGAAGGTCGTTTCAGAGATGGCGAGCTTCCCAGCATGAAATACAATTTTATGGCGAGGTAAATCAAAGATTCTATTTTCTGTTAATCTAGGAATAAACGTAGATATTTATTCGTAAGATACAAAATTAATAATAATAGTTGAAAGAGAAGCGATAGTTTTGTTATGAAAAAATGCCTTCTACCCCTTTGTTCGACGAAATGTTAGGGTCGCTGTTTTAATGTCGAAATGTTCATTTATTTCCACCAAATCCAATATATTCGTATTATCGTAATGGAAATTATGAAAATTTTTGTTTCACCGTCGTTTTGTTATTTGTGTTTGCTTTTTATTAATCGTCCCTGAGTATACACGACGAACAGCTGTAGCTGGATTGTGTAATATTTTTTAACAGGCAAAATAGATCTCCCACTACTTCCTGTTACTCATCTTTGTGTTATCAGATATATACAGATATATACATTTCGTAAATTTCTTTCTTATAAAGATAATACTATATTGGAATTATTATTTATTTCGCCATTTTATTTGATTTTCACTTGCTATATGTTGTATTGTTATTAATAGAAATACATATGTATGTTGCATATATTTGATATTCATGCAAATAAATGAGAGATACATTATGTGAATTCTTAATCCATACTTTTTGTTATATTAACACATTGTAATGAATTTTGTTAACTTCAAATTTTTAATGAGAAGTTTCAATAACATAAAATATCGAGTTCATTGAAATTATAGTTCATTTATATCATTATATTTGAGAAAGTTATTAACAATTGTTTGATCATTATATTTTTACGATAATAAATACGATATAACATTCTCAATATATATTATATACATATAATTTTGTACGTATAATTTTGTTATTGAATTATTAAACATTATAAATGATTATGTAACTATTGTTTAACATATTAACACGTAATTAACATTATGTGTATTCATTTTTAGGTAAAAATATTTTGTTTGGAAAGAAAAAATGTCTGCAGACTCTCCAAGGCGTGGTGTGCATAAAGGAGTTCAAGTTGTATCACCTCAGCCAATAATTGATCGTTCAATTATAGATAGTGTTGCAGGAATAATTAACGATATTGTTCCACAGGTTAGTATATTAAAATATTCTTTTGGTAATTTTTTATTAGGATATATATTATATTGTTTAAATATAGGCTTATGCTGGCACACCAAATTCTGAGAATAAAGAATCTATATCATGGGCACGGTTTGAGTATGCAGACATTAATGACCCTGCCCTGTATCCAGATTACAATGAAGGCTCTAATACACCACCTTTATTATTGGTGCTTGGTTATACAACTGGAGTTCAGGTTTGATCTTGTTTACTTGTTCTTTTTTTTTGGTTCTTAAGTAGTTACATTACTTATGCATTAAAAGATTTTTGAGTTGAGATAATTTTGCAATGTTTTTCGTGTTTCATACATATAACTTAGGCAGTATTAAAATTATGCAAATATGTTTGAATTGAAATATGATTTAATTTAAGTGTATATATTAGATATTGAGTGTGAAGGGTCTTTATAGATTTATCAAGTTTCTAATTATAGAACATTGTTCTTATAGTAGCTTTAAAACTGTATTTGTGTTTATGAATGACTTGAATCTTATTTTATCTAGGAGGCATAATATGTAAACAAGCACATTCATTATCAAAATAACAAGGTACATGTAGTTTGCAGAGATAATAATATGATATTTGAAGTTTGTTCATATAAAAGAATTTATATATTTAAGTTAAGCATCTATGCTTCAAATTTTTTGTTTAGAAATCTCATATAATTACCATAGAGTACAATGTTGCATCTTATGTTGTAATGTTGCATTAAAAGTCATATTGTAAAATGAAAGTAATAAATTTCATTTTATATAGGTATGGTTGATAGCTGCTACAGGGGAAGCTACTGAAGTATTATCATGGCGACAAGGAATAGTTCGTACTCTGAGAATTTTACCAAATCCAAAGACTGATGATGAACATGCTGATTTGTTTGAGCTGAAACGGCCAATGGTAGCAATATGTGATTCAGCTGGACCTGGACCACAATTTTGCAACATTAGTTTCATTTCGCTAAAAACTGGGGAACAAGCTAAAAGCATAAAATTTAAAAATCCTGTTTGTGACATTTTGGCAAATAAACGATCCATAGTAGTGACATTTTTAGAAAAAATCGCCGTGTTCGATGCTCGAACATTGGAAGACGTATTAACAGTTACAACATGTTATGCCAGTCCCGGTCCAAATCCAAATCCTGTTGCTTTAGGCACAAGATGGCTTGCTTATAGGTAAAAAACTTTAAAACTATAAGATTTTAACAATTATTTAAAATAGATTTTTCTGATATTCTTCATCTTTACGATAAAAAATATTTTTAGTGAAAAGAAATTATTACCAGCAAAAAGAAGCAGTGGTGGTTGCGAAGGTGAAGGAGTACAAAGTTATACAGCAACTGTTCTCTACGCGGCGAAATCTTTAGGAAAAGGATTGCGTGGTTTGGGAGAAACCGTCGCATCCAGTTTAACTGGCAATTCAGTATCACCAGTAGTCATTAATAATACAGGCAGTGATATAACTCAACCAGGAGTTATTACGATATTAGATCTGCAAGCAGCAAAAGAGGAGAAAGAATTAGATGATGCGAACATAGAGACTGTCATTGCTCATTTTACTGCCCATAGTGATGCAATCGTTGCCATGACTTTTGATTTAAGCGGTGCGTTGCTAATGACCGCTGACAGAAGGGGGCATGATTTTCATGTATTTAGAATTCAGCCACATCCAGGTGGTCCCACTTTGGCAGCAGTACATCATTTGTATATTTTACATCGTGGAGATACTACTGCGAAAGTGCAGGTAGAAAGTGTACACATTACGTGTACTTTTAAAATTTTTTAACTAGGATTTAATGTCTATACTTTTAAAAATTTATGCATCTCACGAATTTATATTTTATCACAATAGGATATGGTCTTTTCGAGCGATACTCGTTGGGCCGCAATTTCAACTGTACGGGGCACTACTCATGTTTTCCCCGTTGCACCATACGGTGGTCCGGTAGGAATACGAACTCATTCCACACCTCATGTTGTAAATAGACTATCGAGATTTCATAGAAGTGCAGGTTTAATGGATGACGGCGCCAGATCTCATTCTCCTGTATCTCATACAGAGTTACCTTTATCAGTATATCCATATTCTAATCCAAGACTTCCTCCATATCCTCATCCGACTGTACTACATCCTTTGACACAGATACGACAACCATCTTCGTTGAATCACATAAACAGTCAAACTCAACAGAGGTAATTATCAGTTAGGCAAAAATAACAAATAAATAAATTGTAGCGTTTCACAAGTTTAATTATTTCTTACGTTATATAGTAGACCACAACAACGACAACGATTGCACTCAGATGATAGTGGAACATTACCATTAAAAATATGTGCTTGCTTTGCACCTCCAAGAGCTTGGATGTATGCACAAAGAGAATCGACTGTAAAAGTTATGAAAAGAGCAATCGATTCTTTATTCATCATGGCATGTCATGGAAATATGATACAATATGATTTAGATCCCAAGCCAGCCGCAGGTGAATGAAATAGTAATTTAAATTAAAAATGTTACTAATAGTCGATATATATATATTACTAGTAGCAGTAATAATAATTCTTTATTGGTTCCTTGTTGGATATAAATAATATTACTGTTCCACGTCTTCATCTGTTTTTCTCTTCAAAATATTAAATATCATCAAATACTATTATTTAATGATACATTTAGGTATACCAAAGGAAAAAGTATGTGACGATACGATGATAGAATTAGAAGTTGAAGCCAAAGGTCAATGGCCTCTTCTAAGATCTCCGAATTCAATGGAAATTGTGCCACCTCTGCCAACATCTAGTTCTTTACTAAGTGTCAATAGTGTACCGAAAGACATTCAAGATAATGACTTAGCAGAGGATCGTTGGCTAAGCCAAGTAGAAATTGTAACACATGCTGGACCACATAGACGACTTTGGATGGGACCTCAGTTTGTGTTTAAAACCTATAATGCAACTAGCGGGTTAGTTTTTCAAAGTAAAGATATGTAACACGTAATATTATTTTTAACATTGTAACATTATTACAATGAAATTTTATCAATGTAGGGCGCCTGTAAACCTTGTTGAAGCGGAGGCTGTTGAAATCGGAGTGACTGGTGGATCTCGTCCTGCGAGATCAAATCCGGTCAACATGCCACATGCTGCATCCAGATCATTGGTACCTGTGGTCATCGATGGATCGGGAAGTAAGTTTACAAAGAGAAATATCATTTATAGCATATGTATGATTTACATAATTGGAATTAAATGCGCGTTCAATGTATTTCTACTCCACATTAAAGTAAAGTGGATTTCTTTCATTATTTAGGTAGTTATGAGCAATCACCAAGATTTATGGAGGCGTATGGTGACCCACTAGATAGTGAAAACGCTACTGGAGGTGAAAACCAATTGAGAGAGGATCTGGCCGAAGCTATGCTGGAGACGTCGATTGCACCACATCGTGCTCCTGGTAAGTAATCATAGAACGTGTGGTGCTTTGCTTTGAAGTAGATGAGTTGAAGTATAAATCCCGATATATATCCCATTTGTCGATATCTCGTAAAATTTGTATACGTCGTGAGTAATGAGCAAGAATAACGAAAGCATTTTGTATGATTTGGATTATTGAAACTTGCATTTTCGATTGCCTGAAACACGTGATTTCAATACATTTTCAAATTTGCGGTTTTGACAGTCATGAAGATTTTCTTGCCAATTGTAAATGCAACAAAGTTAATCGCAACGCGGTCCAATTATTTCTATCTTTCTCGACGATCCATCACAGAATTGTGCAATTATATATTCACATGGGAACAATTGCAAATTGCAAAATTTTTAGATCACGTTCCATCTTATTCTAGAAGTTTGCATTAATTCGAGTTTGTGAAAGTATATCTAACAAATTTTTGCAAACACACTACTTTTAAATATAGATAACTCGTGCTTTCTGCATTTGGTGACGGGTGATTGTTAGGTATAAGTTTGTGTGGATACAGAACTGGCCAGAGGCAGGTATCTCCGTTCCCCCCCTCCCCTTTATTGATATTACATCTAATCACTAACAACGATATATTTTATCAACGTCTACCCTTTAAGTTGAGGTAAACAGTTGAAAGGCTGCGAACAGTCTACTAACTCCTGTAAGAATTTTTTCCTTTCTCAACGTCCAATGAATATATATATATAAAGAGAAGATATATGTAGGTTGAAACCAACCGCCCCCCAATTGTTCTCTTTACAACATACTGTTCAATCTTGACACGTATAATGTGACGTGAAGTGTTTTTGTGGTGTGCAGTGTGACGACTCGAATCGATTATATATATATAATATATATATATATTATATTATATTATATTATATTATATTATATATATACATATATATATCAGCTTTACATTAGAAGTCACGATTAATTATTCCTTTATTTTCTCTTTTTCTCTCTTTATCCCTCACGTACTCCGTTATCGTAACTCTGTACTCCCTCATGATGCAACATTTGAATTAGTATTTTCTTTTTACTTTCTCCATTGTCGAGCCGTATCGAGAACAATAACATGTCATACCTCAGGCGATATAAATATCTCATTAAAGACGAAAAAAACAGAGAATTAAACAAGGGAGATATTGTGACTCGATATTGATACCTGCCAACGGCTTTTTCTGTTACTAGGGAGGCGATCGGTATTTGAGAGGGTGGGTCAACCGGTAACTAAAGTCGTCAACCCTCTGGGCACCGTGATTACTGTGTCGGCCGATGAGGAGGACATTAACTCCAGTCAGGAGTTCGATTTCGCCGAGGAGAACTACATGCCGGAACCACCTAGAAGCGTGTGCGCCGAAGAGGGTCCGGCTTCTCTCGGTGAACTCGAGCCAGAGAGCCAAACGCTGCGTGATCTCACGGAAATTTGCGCGGAAATGCGCTCAGCTAGCGAGCCAGCGATCGATAGCGTGCCGGACGAAAATATCTGCGAGGTGAAGGAAAGAAAATCGCTGTGCGTCGAGATCGCTTCGATCGCGAACCCTGGCAACTCGACCATCGATTTTGAAAAGGAGGAAGCATTCCGCGATGTGCCGACCAGCTTGAGCCTGTGCGTGGAACAGGGTGAGATTCCCAGCAGCCCTATGACCCAGGCGAAGGAAGCTGCCTGGTGCAAAAAATTTGATAAGAGGGAAGACAAAGTGACACAGGAGAGGAATGTATCCGAGGAGGCAGAGTATGTAGTCAACTGCGACGAGGATAGCATCGTATTAATGGAAAATAAGGCAGCTCACGGACGAAAAAGTACGTCGGTACATTGTAGAACTGACAATAAGAAAGCTTGCGAGCTTGAAAGGGCCGCGAAGAAATCAGGGAAGAACGGCTCCTCCGCGTGCTCCAGTAAACGAACCGAGAGTAAAACTCCTGCTAAGAAGTACATTTTGAAAGAACACGAGGACAGTGTCGTCATCGAGGACACTACTTGCGACGATTCTAAATATGATTGTGGCAAGAAAAAAGGTTGCGAAAGAAACGTGGCCGGAGATACAAAGAATAAGAATACCGAAACGAGAAGCGGAGAATCTTCGAAAGAAACTGGAAGGGGTAAAAGCAGAACAAAGTTCTCCACTGTTCAGGATTTCAAAGAGATGAGAGCTGAACTTTTCACGGAAGGTAAATGTTCAACGAAGCAGACAGAGCCGATCGTAGAAATGGACACACTAATCGAAGAAGCTGAGAAGAAAGAAGATATCAAATCGATTATCAGCGTCGATGTATTAACTAAAGAGACAGATAAATACAAATCGCCACCGTCAGACTCGACCGACGATTTCAGTTCCAGCGAGTATCACATCATTGATGCACCTTGCTGCAGCAAAGATGGCACATCGATCCAGTCTGATGAAGACATCGAGCATATCCAAAGCTCTGAAATCACTCAATTACAGCAGTCTGAGTGCACCGACAGCGATAAATGCACGGACGTGATAAGTTGCGCAGGTTCGTCGCCGATTTTGCAGAGGAAGAACAGCAAGAACACAATATCTGACGACGACATTGAATATATACATACCTCTGAACTAGTAGAGACACCTGACAAAATTTCCAGAGAAGACTCGAAGTTTGAAACGAACGAGTCGGCTAAAAGCAAACGAACGTTCTCTGACGATGATATAGAACACATCCAGCATTCAGACATCTACGATACTCCATCCGAAAGAACTAAAGAAGTTCATGACAGAAGCACGAAGAGATCGCAGGATACTTCAGCGGAGCAAACGTCGAAATCAAAGAACGCGAAGAAAACGAAGGACATCGTGGTCATCGAGGGCGACACGTCGGCCGCTGACGTGACTGTGATCTTTAAACCAGCCGACACTTGGAAGGGTAAGAGTATAGAGAGAAAAGAGGAACCAGAAGAATTTACCACGAGAGATATACCGTCTAGTGAGAATCCTAGTCCACTAAGGAAAGCTAAGATTCGTTTTGCTAAAATATCTCCTGCAAATGTTGCGCCCAAACGACCGCAAGCAGATATTGAGATAATTGACATCGACGCGATGCAGAAGGCCGAGATGGAAGTACTGGCCGACGCCGCGTCCATTTCAGAATGCAAAGTCCTTGCCGGCGCTGAAGTCTGTGGCACTCGCACGAAAAAGTCACGCAAGAGCAAGAAAACCAACAACGAGAACAACGTGCAAAGCTGCGAAGCTTTGTCGTCGACCGAGCCTGCACAATCTGCCGAAGAACTTTCAAGGCAGTCGATCTCTCAGGAGCCGGCAGCTGAGTTTTCTTGGAGCGCCGTGGTGAAGAAGAAGAGTGGTTCTCCCGTGGCCGCAGAAGCTCGAAAAGAGGACGATAAAGTCGAGAGTTACAAGCCGAAACGATCGTTCGAGCCTTCGGTCGAGGGATCTTCATCGTGCACGCCTATCTTGGAGAAAATAGAATCCTTGAAGAAGAAGATACACGAGTCTTCGTTGAGGAAGAGCGTGGACAAGAAGAGTTCGAGTTCTCAGGTGATAGATAAGCTGCGGGAGGCTGTTTTAGAATTATACCCTGAAGAGTCTTCCGTTCAGACAACAGAACTTTCTTGGAGTTCCATCGTCAAGAAGAAGAGCACCTGTTGTTCTGTCGAGGCTGAGACGAGGAAAGAACCTGACCTCGACCCGATAGTAGAGGAAATGATTAATGACGAAAGGAAAACTTACCGAAAATCCTCGATTCGCTCGTCGATGGTGGATCAATTGAAGGAAGCTGTCACAGAAACAACTATGGGAGAATCATCTGTTCAGGCAACAGAAGGATCTTGGAGTTCCATTGTTAAGAAAAGGCCTGTCACTTCCGCGGCAAGCGAGTCGATCACGCGGAAGGAAACTGTCGAGCGGAAAACTCACAGAAAGTTGGATCTACCGACCGATTCTACGACCCGTGACTACGAGACTACGAGTTCGTCCGCGGATAAAAGCACGCCGTCCGAGAAATCCTTGAAGTTGGAAACTGTAAGCGAGATGGACGAAAAACTTTCGATCGATTCGAAGACCTGGAACGTTGGTGGGCCAGCGCTGATGGACTCAACGTTTACGAAAGAAGATTCCTCGGAGCTCGAGCGAGACACCGAGCCCGAGAAGAAGAGCGACTCGGAGCAGGAGATTGTGCCGGAACGTTCGAGCTCTTCGGACGAGTTGAACGCGAACGTGGTGTTCACGAACGCCGAGGGAGAATATTCTGGTCGCGAGACGACTGAGAAGAATGCGACGAATGGCTCGAACTCCTCGGTCTGCGCCACGTCGAAAAAAGGCACCAGGTCGAAGAAAAAAAAACGCAGATGAGTAGAGGACTGCATGGATGTACCTAGGGCCAGCCTTGCCCTTTACATACTCCTGATGCAAGTAACCGGGGTCGATTAGCAGGAGTATAAGCCGGGAAACAACGTGTGTTCTCGACCTCTATCATTCTAATCAAAAGCATGATTTATTGGGGGAAAAAGTTATCCTAGGAAATATGTGTTATTATACAATCCATAATCCATTAGGGGAGCTAGCTTCAGCTCCGTTCTCATCGAGCGGCGAGTGTCTGAAATCTTGTCAGA